TGGACCTTGTTAGATATGTAGGCAGATATGAAAAAAAGCAGTCTGGGCAGGTCACTGTGTTCTCTTTTTAAATGCAATTTTCATAAGTGAATTGATTGATACAGATGTGCATTTTTAATCTGCTTATGTGTGTTCCCAAACTCTCCTTTCCACTTCCCAGCAGAGAAATGGCGTCTGTAGTATGGGATAAAGGAATGGTCTTCACTACAGAAAAGGGTCAACCTCCTGACCTCAGTATGCTTTAACATGTATAATTCTATCCCTTTGACCAATCTGGATCTGCTTTCAATGAGCGAAACCTCCTGCCTTCGTTTTTGTTTTTTTGTTTGTTTCTTGTTTGTCCAGTGATTAAGAGAGTCTTTTCTAGAATGCAATAGGAATGTAATTATGATTTTATGGAGTCACATATTTTAACCTGGCAATACAGATTTTATTAGAAATGATGATAAAAATGATTGAGGAATCTTATGGCATTTAGTGGGTTTAACATTCAACTTAAAGAGTGATTTGAGAGAACCAAATAATACAATATGAATTAAAAAAACAAAAATCGTATGTTTCTGATTTTTTTCTTGTTTATTTGTTTATCTTTAAAGCTTTCCAAGCCATTTATAACTGCAGTGGGTTATAATACACTGAATATATGGTGAAACAATGCATCATATGTACCCAAATCATCAGATATAGACACAGCAGGGATATCACCTATAAAAATCTTACATTTAAATATAAAACATGTCTGTATATTCTTTTTCATCTATTTTGGGAGGGTAGTTTTGGTAGTAGGTCTGGGGGAGAAAATATTGGAATATAGAAAGATCCAGTTGGTCAGTTACATTTATTTTTAAATATGGTTGTAGTAAAAGGATGATCTTGCATACTAATACAGATGTCATATAATATTAATTCACATTATAATTACAATCACATGCTTATTCATAAAATTTTCCTTAGGTAAGAAATGGCATCAATATTAAATAAGTGAATATAACATGACATTTACTACAATAAAGATTGGAGGGACTGAGTTCTAGAAGAATGAGCAGAATCCAGAAAGTATGACATCTTCTATAGAGTAGGAGCAACATAGAGGAGAATGAAAGCTTCAAAAGATCAACTTTGCCGAGTGATAATGAGATAAAACAAACAAAACTACATCCAAGAAAAACAAACAAACAGTGGTATGTTGTTGAGGACTTGGGAACTGAATTTTTTTTTTAATTTTATTTGTTTATTTGACAGAGAGAGTGAAAGAGCATACACAAGGAGGGGGAGCAGTAGAGGGAGAGGGAGCAGCAGGCTCCCCATTGAGTAGGGAGCCTGATGTGGGGCTCGATCCCAGGACCCTGGGATCGTGACCTAAGCTGAAAGCAGATGCTGAACTGAGTCACCCAGGCAGCCTGGGAATTGAATTCTTGACTCTGGAATGAAATTTGTTCTCTCCCAATTATTCATAGTGGGCTTTTGGGCAAGTTATAGAAACTTAGAGACATAAGTAAGGTCTGAGATTAAACGAAGCACGTGCTAAACAAATGAGAGAGAAATTACCATGCCTTTCCTCAATAGGTAATGTGGCAGGACAGCACTTAGGGAAGAGATAGAATCAGATTTTCATCCAGTCATACAGTCTTTGGTTCAGTATTTCTTAGACTTCTTTGGGTCAAGTGTTATTTGTGTTAGATGCTAATTAACCATTATTGATCAAGCCCTTATTCTCCAGCCTATTCTCCATCTTTTTGCATACTGCTTGAGAAACATTGTATAAATATAGTAGCTATGAACTAGTCTCTAAGTACAGAACAGTAGGATGTCATTACGTAGGTGGTATGGACATTGAGCAAAGATTTATAATAAGCTTTAGAAGACAGACATCTGTTACCACCTAGCTGTCATCACCCAATTTCTTATTCTTAAATTAGGGGTATTAATATTTGACACCTCCCTAGCTTTGCTCTTTGAGGTAACTGAGATTACCTTGTGAATATTGGTGAGCATCATTAGGAGTGCAAGGTTATATATATAAATACACATTTTATTCCATTATTCACTCCAACATGTCCCATGAAATTTACTAGTGCAATTATAATTCAAAGCAATAGGATATAAGAATTTGAGTCACTGGACAAATCTACACTGCAACTTTATTTTGCGTGGTATATTTAATATAGAATTTTATTAAACTCTTTGAAAATTTGCCCCCTTAAGGGGTTAGGTTAAATAGCCTGGATTAAAAAACTGAAATTTTAGAATAACAGCCGAAATTCTAGCTTTCCACCTTATTATACTAACAACTCATGGGGGATTCCAGAACAGTTGATGACTTTACATAATATGAATTCAATACTTATTTGCATTATGCAGGTGCATGCTTTAGATTGGATCCTAACAAACTCATGTCTCAGGCTTTATTTTGAGGACAGTAAGTTTGGGTTTTTTTAGGGGGTTGTCTAAATTTCAAATATAAAATTGATAATAAAAAATCACATGGTAACTGTTATTTAGAATTTTAAATATTGATTTTTAGAACAGAAAAAATGTATTTTTGAATGGTTGATTGGTGCATTTATGAAAAAATATGCAACTCCTCAAGCAGAGTCTGGAACAGGGCAATCTAGTCAAACACATGAACGTTTCTGCAGCAAAGCAATAAATATTTATATAAAGTAGGATAAATAGAGACTTTAAGTTGCCTCAGATCAGCTAATTTCCAGTTCTCCTGCCAAATTAACTTGAAGCCAAACATTCATTTTTCAGAGCTTTTTGAATTTTCAGCTTGTATATCTGGGATTTCAGATTTCATTCCTTGGTGGCCTCAAATGCTTGATTCATATTCTTGGGTATTTATTCTGTCTCCTCAGTTACTCATCTTCAATGTGAAGATAATAGTAGAAACTACCTCACTGGTTGTTACAAAGTATAATACGTTACTCTTAATACAATGCTTAAAACAGGACCAGAATATAATGGGGGCTATTTAAATACTGTTTTATAATATCATCTACTTCATTTAAATCAGGATCAGAAAAGAACAGGTTTGCAGTGGATTAAATTCAGTCCACTGTAAACAAAAGCTGTGTCAAGTTTTAACATGACAAGTTTTAAGGCACTTTCCGTTAGTAGATATCCAGTTTGTAGGCATTTTCTACCCTTGCACTTTCCCTCTCACCCAGCCGAGTTGGGAAAATGGGCAAATAGAGCCATGGGAGAGGTGTTCGTACCAGTCTCTTCTATTGGCAATAGAAGTTTAGACAGAAAAGAGGTTTAAATTATGGACTAAAATAGCATCCTAAAAATGAGATTATCTTCCTTATTTAGGGAAAAGTTGATGGATGATCTCTCTGGCAGTGGACCTCTCTTAGGACCGAGATAGTGATATTTAAAAAAAAAAAAAAACAAACAACAACAACCAAAAAACAACAAAACATGACTCATATGAGGTGATGTCAGCCAGAGAGCCCAAGAGCACCATCCTTGCCAAGCTCAACAGGACAAAAATGCCCCCAGGCGTAACTTAGATTTTTCTTTGCTGGCTTAGTTATGGGAGGTAGAGATGGAGATGAGCTCCTTGCTCTCCTAAACAACCTCCTACTCCTGGGGAAAATAAACTGAAGATTTTTTTGAAGTATATAAGGCAACAAATCATTCATTTCTTTGTCACGAGCTTCCTCACCAACATGGAACCCATCTGGCTGTGGAACACAGAGTTCTAGCTTCCTTGGCTTCCACAGTCATTCCTGGATGGTCATGACCCTCGTCTGTCTTCCTTAATATTAATCTTTCCCCTAGTTTAAGACCCCAGGTTTCAGATATTTATAGCAGTGTTGATATGATTTTAATGAACCCTCTCAAGATATTTTCATATCTTCATGCAATTTTTTCAACTTGTAAATTCATTTATAGAACTTAAACATTTTTATCTTCTTGTAACAAATTTTTGGCAATGAAACATCACTGAGAACATGCACAAGTGCTATTACAGGCTGTAATTATGAGATACCTCGTGCATAGTGCTTTGCAGTGAGATTTTTGTGATCCTGTCTTACGGTATCCTAGATAACGGAGATTTTGAAAAAGCTACCAATATTGAGAAACATAACTCCATCAAATGAAGTGCAGCACTAAAAAAAAAATGAGTCCTTTGAATAGATAATTCCTTAAGAAGGCGTTTGGTGCCCAGTGGCTATAGACTGTATGAAATGACACTCTATTTTACAAAGCCAGGTTATATAATAATATGCCTGACACTTACTGTCCTGAATTCTTCAACATTCCATCATGTTCCCAAGAGGAAAAGTTCTCTGACTTCATTTAGCATTCCCCCTGTTGAAGGGGGAAAATATGTTTCCCTGTATTTTAAGTAAGAACAGACAGAGGTCTTTGGACGGCTTTATGCTGCACCATGGGTAAGGAGGTTGTACTAAACAATCTATAAGAAGTAATAAAAGTGCTATTTTTTAAAATAAAAGAACATTTTATTTGCTAAAAGGAGAAAAACAATTTCTGGGGAAGGCATTTTTGGAATACTCTTTCTTGTGAACATGAATTTGCTTTATTTACTTGACCTTTATAATGTCATAAACATGGTCCTTATGTGCCTGCAGTTTCTCAGTCCTTCCTATTTTCCTCCCTCAGGTGTGCTAAATCTCATCACTGACTTCACCTGGATCCCTGGGGGTTTCTATAACTTACTTCTAATTCCTGTGTGAACCCTTCTGTGTTCTGGTACCTGATACATGTTAGTAATCATTTTACAACCTTTGCTTTTTAAAGTATTTTTGGATAGCCTTTCTATTTAAGATCCAGGAATTTGTATGAAACCACTGAGGTTATATTGCTTCTGAACTAAAGGTTGTTGGTTTGTGGAATTTCCTTCCACTGGAAACATGTATGGGTCTGTGGCTCTAGTGTTTTCATTTTCAAAGCTGGAGCATTTACTATTAATTTCCATATTTTATAAAGAACTAACTTTTTTCCTTCCTTTTTTTTTTTTCCTTCTTCAGTTGAAAGAGACAAAGATTTTTCTCACCAGCGAAGGCATTACAAAGAATTCCGGTTTGATCTGACTCAAATTCCTCATGGGGAAGCAGTGACAGCGGCTGAATTCCGAATATACAAGGACCAGAGCAATAGTCGATTTGAAAATGAAACCATTAAGATTAGCATATATCAGATCATCAAGGAATACAGCAATAGGTAAAGACTTTATATCTAACTTACTATGCAAACACAGGCTAATTGTAGTAAAAATCACTGATAACCCATGTGATCTATCAAATCATCTTTTCTTTGGATGTAAAGACATTGAAAACCAGGTGTAGACACATTGAAAGTAAGAGTGATTGATCTGAAATGTGCCTTCCACATTCCCTAGCTATTCCTTCCTCTTGACACCAATCTGTATACTAGATGGTCTCATGCTTCCCAGGCCCCTTGTTTCATTTTGTAAATGAGAAAACTTCCATTTTAATATGCACACATAAAATCGAAAATTAAAATGATTTAAATAACTTGGTGTTTTGTAAGTTAGAGAAGAATAGCATTATTGCTCCCTGGCATGAATGTAAATTGCCTGCGTGTATTTATGTGTATTTTGATATAAGGCATTACCTTTGTAGCAGGTTCTGACCATTAACCTTTATGTCTTCTGTCTGTAAAATGCTTAATTCAAAATGGTGCAAAAATGAACCGATAACCTGAAATACTAAATATATGGAAACTTCAGTTGATAATTACCGCAAATGAACTGTCAAACAGAAGAGTTGAAAAAAAAGCTTAGTAGAATTCTCTGACCTTTCCCCCAGTGAAGAAGTCTCTTGGGTAACACCTTTATAGGTGATAAGCTACCTTTGTTGGACAGTTCTTCTGTTATTGTTGTTTTTTTTTTAACTCTTTTTTTTTTTGAAAGATTTTATTTATTTATTTGACAGGCAGAGATCACAAGCAGGCAGAGAGGCAGGCAGAGAGAGAGGAAGGGAAGCAGGCTCCCTGGGATCATGACCTGAGCCGAAGGCAGAGGCTTTAACCCACTGAGCCACCTAGGCGCCCCTGGTTTTTTTTGTTTTTTTTTTTAACTCTTATTTGATATGTCATAGGTGAAATCTTTCTCCAGTAGCTTGCAATCATTAGATCTAGATCTATCCTTTGGTGAAATGGTATGTCATTCTTTGATGAGATAGATATTTAAAGACAGCTATCTTTTCCCCTCCAATGCTCCTCCCTTGTTGAAGATTTCTAGTCCCTGATGTTAAGATTTTTCTTGGTCTTTAAGAATGCCAGAGTTCCCAGTGGGTACTCAATGGGACAAGAGCCCCTCATAATGCTCAATGAAGAAAAAAGAATAAAAAGCTTCTGAGATCAAATCTATTTGAAAATCTTACCTGTTAAACCATTCTTTAGGAAGTTCACAATGCACATTAGAATATTAAATTCTTAGGGGCACCTGGGTGGCTCAGTCATTAAGCGTCTGCCTTGGGCTCAGGACATGATCCCAGGGTCCTGGGATGGAGTCCCGAATCAGGCTCCCTGCTCAGCAGGAGGCCTGCTTCTCCCTCTCCCACTCCCCTTGCTTGTGTTCCCTCTCACTGTGTTTCTCTCTCTCTGCTAAATAAATACATAAAATCTTAAAAAAAAGAATATTAAATTCTTAGAAAAGGTTTAGAGTAAAGAAACCTAGTCTTCCTCAAAATTATTTGACTATGAAATCTTTTTCTTTGGGTATATAATACTTAATATCCATGAAACACTGTTTCAGCCAGACAGACTTTAATAAGTGCTGATCTTATTTTAAGAGCAGTAATTCCAAGGTAGATAAATCTTGTGTTTGTTTCTTAGCTCAAACATTTACTAGCTATTTGTCTATGGGTGGATTTTTATTTGTTTAAATCTCAGTCCAGTGGTTTCATTTGTAAAATAAGTATACTAAATTTGCGGGGGGGGGTGTTGTTTCTGTCAGAGAAAGAGCCTGGCATATCACATTGTTTTTTTTAATACTAAATAATGATGGTGTCTTTAAAAATAAGTGATGAGAGGGGGTGCCTGTGTGGCTCAGTCTGTTGAGCATCTGCCTTCGGGTCCTGGGGACCTATGTAGTTGGGTTCTTAGAGAGGAGTCTGCTTCTCCCTCTCCTGCCCCTCCCCCTGCTTATGCTCTCTCTCTCTCTCTCTCTCAAATAAATAGATAAAGTTAAAAAAATAAAATTAAGTGATGAGAAGGCACCTGGGTGGCTCCCTTGGTTAAGTGTTGGCCTTCAGCTCATGTCATTATCCCAGAGTCCAGGGATCCAGCCCAGTGTCAGCTTTTATTTAAGTCTATTGTTGTATATGTTCAGGATATTATTTTTTAAAAGATTTTATTTATTTATTTGACAGACAGAGATCACAAGTAGGCAGAGAGGCAGGCAGAGAGAGAGAGAGAGGAGGAAGCAGGCTCCCCGTTGAGCAGAGAGCCCGATGCAGGGCTCGATCCCAGGATCCTGGGATTATGACCTGAGCAGAAGGCAGAGGCTTTAACCCACTGAGCCACCCAGGTGCCCCAGGATTTTTTTTTTAAGATTTTTTTTTTTATTTGGGGGCGCCTGGGTGGCTCAGTGGGTTAAGCCTCTGCCTTCAGCTCAGGTCATGATCTCAGGGTCCTGGGATCGAGCCCCGAATCGGGTTCTCTGTTCAGCAGGGAGCCTGCTTCCCCCTCTCTCTCTGCCTGCCTCTCTGCCTACTTGTGGTCTCTCTCTCTAATAAAAATAAATAAAATCTTTAAAAAAAAAAGATTTTTTTTTTTATTTGTCAGAAAGAAAGCAGAAGCATGGAGAGCTGTAGGTAGAACAGGCAGAGCAGGTAGAGGGAGAAGCAGGATCCCCACCGAGAAAGGAGCCTGATGCAGGACTTGATCCCAGGACCGGGAGATAATGACCTGAGCTGAAGGCAGATGTTTAACTGACTGAGTCACCCAGGTGCCCCTGCTCAGGATATTTTTAAATGTTATCCACTGAACTAGCCATCCATTTCACTTTCTTTCACCTCTATTTTTTAAGTATGTGAACTGCATAACTTAAGATATAATAAACATGATTAAAAAAAGGACTACTAGAAGAGACTATTGATAATAATTTATAGATTGATTCCTGATCAATCTATGCTGATTTTTATGAATAATACATGTGGGAATATTTATGGGTGTTGATGCTTAGCTTATCAGATTTCCCAGTTTTGAGAATTTTAATTTCTTCAAACAACCAAACATTTGTTTATCTGGAAATTTTGCTAATTCTCTAATAATACCTGGTTTGAAAAACATTGCTCTCAGTGTTTCTACAACTGCATCTGCATGTTTTTTCAGTACTCTTGAGTATAATTTGGCTAAGTCTTTACTTATTTTAACATGTGTTTAGACATGTGTTTAGAGCTATTCTAAGATCCAAGATTTCCTAATATCCTTGATATTTTCCCTAAATCTTTGAGAAATGATTTCTAAAATCTAAAGTACATGTATATATTTGATTGATTCTAAACTCGAAGATAATATAGATTGCAAAGGTTTCCGTCCAATTTACTGAATAGCATTTATAAAAGTTTAGTTCAGTAAGTTAAATTCCATGTCAATTCAATTCACTTAAGTTGACATTTGAAATCTACTATCACGTATTGTTGAATTGTCCTGTAGATTTATGCTCTACTTACTGTTTTCTGTGGGTTTTGTTTTTGCTAATATATATAGGCTTTTTCCCAGTTATCTTTTTCAATCTCTGAAACATGCAAACTCACACACGTATACCCTACATTTCAGTTTTATATACTATTGATCAGCCGAAAGAATCTCTGGCAAAATGCTTTCCTTGTCTTTGAAATAGGCATTCATCCATTACTAGAGGCTCCTTCATCCAGTGTAAGAAAATGCCTTGTCTTTGTCATACATCCAGGACTCACTTTTTGCACTCCCCTCTTTGTTCAAAATATATATATGTAAGGGATGGCTGATATGGAAACAGCACATGTGCCTCTTAGAATATTTCAGGTTTCCATGAGGGATTTCAGCCACCTAGAAAATAGTGATGTATACCAATAAGAGCATGGACTTTGGAATTCCTCTATGGGGGAAACTGCTGTATATCTTAGGATCTCAAGTTTACAAGTATGAAAAGAATAAAAACAATAATAAGTATTTCAGAACAGTAGAAGTATTGCATATGATTTGAGAAGAACTAGTGCTTATCACAGTACAAAGACTATAGTTGATACTTTATAAATACATTGGTCAGCATATACTCATATAGCTCAGTAGGATATCTATTTTGTAAGGGTTTAGAGGATTATATCCATAGGGGAACCAAAAGTAGGTGGTTATTACAGTAACAATAACTACCATTTATGGATACCTGTTTTAATGTACAGATCAAGTAAGTAATATGATGCCAGGTGCCTTTACTTAATAAAAAAACCACCAGATCTTGGATTCATAAAAAAGCAATTGGTACATTTTTAAGTTTATTAATTAAATGAATATCACCCAACTTAACAGCAACATCATGGAAGCTATGTCTGAACTTGCCCCTGAAAGCATATGTTAAACAAATAGTCAAACTCATCTTTGAAATACAGTTGAAGAGTGATGGAGATGGGAGACTAGTTATTTATGAATTACACAGAAATATCAGAGATGTAGACAAACTGTATTCACATATAAATGTTTACTACAGTATTATTATTTGCAATCACATAACTCGTTAAACAGAAAATATCATACTTCATTTTATGGAAAATGGAGGTGCTATACTTTATATAACAAGTAGAAATTGTGTTTTAAAAAATATTTGAGGGGCGCCTGGGTGGCTCAGTGGGTTAATCCTCTGCCTTCGGCTCAGGTCATGATCTCAGGGTCCTGGGATCGAGCCCCGCATCGGGCTCTCTGCTCAGCAGGGAGCCTGCTTCCTCCTCTCTCTCTCTGCCTGCCTCTCTGCCTACTTGTGATCTCTGTCAAATAAATAAATAAAATCTTTAAAAAAATAAATAAATAAATAAAAATAAAAAATATTTGATAATACTAGAAGGTTCTCAGACTATAACATTAATTGATTAACGTATGGGGCATAACTATACCATTTTAAATAAATTCATATGGAAAACAGATCAGAAGGAAGCACCGTTTATTGCAGTCTTGTGGGTTTGAAATTTTAATTCTTACCCTTTTGTGTACTTTCTAAA